GTGGCCCAGGAATCCGCAAGGACGCGTTTGCCGACGCCGTGCAGCGGGCCCGCCAGGTGAGGACGCTACCGGGGGTCTCCAGCAGGGCGCGTGCGCGCGCGGGGGAGGGGGCGGGCGCGCGCGCACGCGGGGTCGCGGGAGGGTCACGTGGGCGACCGGCTCAGGGCGCGGAACCTGGGGCCGGCCCCCGGGGGTCACTGCTGCGGTGCGCGGGGTTACGGATGCACTACAGGGGGTCCCCGAGAGCCACTTATCAGTTTGCGCTGGGGAGGGGGTCTCCAGCAGGGCGCGTGCGCGCGCGGGGGAGGGGGCGGGCGCGCGCGCACGCGGGGTCGCGGGAGGGTCACGTGGGCGACCGGCTCAGGGCGCGGAACCTGGGGCCGGCCCCCGGGGGTCACTGCTGCGGTGCGCGGGGTTACGGATGCACTACAGGGGGTCCCCGAGAGCCACTTATCAGTTTGCGCTGGGGAACCTTTCTAGGACCCACAGTCATTCCAGTACGGGGGTTCCCGAGAGCCGCCTCTTGAGTTTGCATTGGGGCACCCCGGTTAGGACACGAGGGTTTTCAGTTTAAGGGTTTCCCTAGAGTCCTCCTGAACTTGAACTAGGAGACCTCTCAGGGACCCACAAGGCTTATAATCTCTGGGGGTTTTCGAGAGCCACCCCTGAACTTGCACTGGGCTGTTCCTCTTAGGATGCTGAGGACTTGTAGTATGGAGAGTTCCCGAGTGTCACCCCTGAGTGCACTATCTTACGACCCAGAAGCGTTTGATTTTGGGAGTCCCAAAAGCCATCTCTGAACTTACACTGGCCAGTCTCTTTTAGGACCCAGGGGGAGTTTGATTCCCAAGAGCCACCCCTGAGTTTGCAAGGACATGAGCTTGGGCATGCTGGGGACCTCTCTTAGGATCTGTGAGGGCTTGTGATCTGGAAGGGGTCCTCAGGAGCCACCCTGGGTGTGCACCAGAGGAGCTCTCAGGAGTTTAGAAGGTTTACAATCTGTTAAGGAACTGCTCTTAGGACCGCAGAGCTTGAAATGCCCAGGAGCCCCCTCTGGGTTTGCAAAGGGATACTGGGATAGAACATACAGGGTCTTGAACTCTGAGGTGCAAAGGGGCTAAACTTGGGAGTGTCCTTGGAGAGGTTCCTCTTAGTGTACACAGGAACTCATACTCAGAAGTCCAGCACTCACCTTCCAGGTGGGTGTCTTGTTTACACACCCTGGTTCCCACTTTCCTGCCAGGAGAGGGGTCCCCCAACCCAGTTCCATTTCTGTTCCTTCCCTAGGAAGGAAGGGTCTTGGAGGAGGGTCGTTCTTCCTCTTGGATATGAAAAGTGAGGAGGACACCCTTTGGCAGAGAAAGTGGGCTTCCGGGCAAGATGGGGAACCAGGGACATAGGACCCTACTGTTGGTGTTGAGTAGTTTGAAAAGTTGTCTCTTTTTCTTTGGTATATCACCATATTTTAATGACATGACAGAGGTATCACTTGCTGGTGGGACCCAGCCTTACCCTGGCCTGGATCAATGGGGACCTAAATCTTCTGAAAGCACTTTCCTCTGGCCAGTTCGGGGTTCAGAAAGTTACATAGAAGATTGCGTTCTAGGCTTGCTCCTGTCCCTCCCAGCTAAGGACTGGCTCCTGCCAAGGTAGGCAGGCCATTAGGTGACAGCCCAGATTCTCACCTCCAAGGTGGGGTGGCTTCTAGCATGCCTTTGATCTGCCCCTCCCACCAAATGTCTTGGGAGGCAGTTTTCCTTGGGTGGGGGCAGTGCCATCAACTGGGGTCACATAGCCCAGTCAAGGTACGTTGAGTTTTGTTTTTAATGGCGTAGGAAAGATCCCAAGTTCAGACTTTGGGGTTCTAATCACAGACTGTGGTTTTGTTTACTGGCTCTGCGGTCCTTTGAGGGTGCCCTTTATGTAGCTTAAAATGTAGCAAGTGTCCCAGGCCCATTCATGATCAGGGTGTTGGGGTGCTGTGGGGGAAGGGTTGGCTGAAAGCTGCTGCTGACCTGTTTGTGGTAAGACGGTGAGATGCGGTCTCATTGGGTGCCTGGGCCGCTTGCAGGGGTTGAGGGCCCTGGGAACCTCCATGAGAGCCCACCCTGAGCTGCTGTTACTTTCATTAGACACCTGTGCGCCCATCCCTCCAGGGAAGTTTGGGGTGCTTTCAGGGAACTTCATTAGAACTCTTTCTGGGCAATCTGTACCCATCCTCCTGAAATTTGGGGCCACTGGCAAGGGTTGTTTGAGGTGCTGACTCCTCTGTTCCCCCCTTCCTAGATTGCAGCTAAAATCGGAGGCGATGCAGCTACCACCGTGAATAACAACACTCCTGACTTTGGTTTTGTGGGCCAAAAGAGACAGCTGGAAGATGGAGGTAACTCTCTACATGGCGGCAACTCAGGGAGCCAGGACTGCGACTGAGATCGCTTCTCTCCAAGTGGGTTCCAGGGGAGGGGAACAGATCACTTGTGACCAGGTGACACTGAGTTTTCACTCAGGATCATACCTTCCTGAGTGAGACACTGGAGTGAAGCTAGTCCTAGGGCACACAGCGTCACCAAGGGCTGTTAGGAGGGATCTTGTCCCTTAGGCAAGAAGTCAGCTTTTTGTTGCTGGGGGTGACTGGCTTGAACATGTTGCCCTCTCCAACCCTCTTTGGGCTGTTACTGGGGATATGTGACATGGCCACAAGGTTGTGGGTGGCACATCTGATGGGCACTCTCATCCACAGACCAGCCGGAGAGCAAGAAACTGGCCTCCCAGGGAGATGGTAAGTCCGTGGGATGTGTGGGGACCCAGCGTTGTAGGGTTTGGGGGATCAGGAGCTAGAGTCAGTCACTGAACACATAGCAGCTCTACTTTGCCCAGTGACTCCACAAAGTTTTGAGGGTCCTCCAAAATGAAAATTGAAACAGAAAAGAGGGTAGGCTTCTGTGGGAGAGGCCACAGGCCCCTTGAGGTGCAGGTCCAGAAGCAGAGCCCTGTGGTGGGCATCTCAGGTCCCTGCACAAGCCAGGCACTGTGGTAAGGGCTCTGTAGCCTGTAGAGGAGCTTATCAGGTTCTGTTTTGAATTTCTCCCACAGCGATCAGTTCTCAACTTGGACCCATCCACCCTCCACCCAGGTACGTTGCTGCCTGCTCTCCCTCTGGGCCAGGCATTCAGGCACAGCCTATCAGCCGGATCTAACTTAAATGCTTGGGTCTATCAGCTCTTTCAGTAGAGGAAGGTCACTGGAGTTGCACACAGCCCTCTCTTGTGATTGGTGCCCAGACATAGTCAGGTTGCTGTAAAAATGCCTGAGAGGGCCAGGTGTGGTGGTGCACACCTTTAATCCCAGCACTTGGGAGGCAGAGGCAGGCAGATCTCTGAGTTCAAGACAGCTGAGGCTACAGGGAGACCCTGTCTCAAAAAGACCAAAACAAAAGAAAAAATGCCTGAGAGGGCAGGGACTGGGCTCAGTCAAGAAAGGGGGGGTCTAGTACGGGCTTCCAGTACTAGAATTCAGCTATGAAGGCCAGCTTGGGCTACATGAGACAGGGTCTCCAAAAAACCTCCTAAGTTACTCTGACCCTGAGCCAGTAGCATGGCCATGGCCACGCTTAGACACAGGTGGGGACCCTGAGCCTGGAGAGGAAGCCCTGAGGACAGGTTATACTCATGCCCAGACCATGGTCCTTGGTGTGGGCAGCAGGGGCCTCCAAGAGCAGGAAAAACTTCCACTGGATGGAGGCTGATGCACAGTCTCTTCACAGGACTTCAATGACAGAAGAATACAGGGTCCCAGACGGCATGGTGGGCTTGAGTGAGTGGGGACCCTATGATGGGGGTTGTGGTCAGGGAGCCCACACCTGAGTGCCCTGAATCCTGGGCTCTCTCAGCCAGTCTCCAGCTTTCTCCTTTTCTCTCCAGTCATTGGCAGAGGAGGCGAGCAGATCAACAAGATCCAGCAGGATTCGGGCTGCAAGGTCCAGATCTCACCAGGTACCAGCTCCTTTTGGGTGGGCACTTCCTTCAGACCTAACTGAGCACAGCATCTCAGCTGGTGTGGCACCTGAGGGCACACCTTCGGCCGCTTTTCCCATTTTTATTAGTATTATTTTTGCATTTTCTTCTCTTTTTAAATGGTTTTAATTTTTGGAGACAGTCTCCCTGTAGCCCCAGCTAGCCTGGAACTCACTGTGTAGACCAGGCTGGCCTTGATCTCACAGAGATCCACCTGACTGCCTCCCCCGTGCTGGGATTAAAAGGATGCACCACATCTAGCCTAGTATGTTTATTTTTATTTTATTTTATGTGTATGAGTGTGCATGCATATAAGTTCACCCATGCATGCAGTAGTGCCTACAGAGGACAGAAGAGGGTGTCAGATCTGGAGTTAACAGACAGTTGTCCTAACCCAGGTCCCGTGCAAGAGTAGCCAGTGTTCTTAAGTGCTAAGCCAGCTCTCCAGCCCCATTCTTTCCCTTTTTAAAAATTGTTCTTATTTTCTGGGTACATGTGTTTTGCCTGCATGTATGTGTGTGCAGTGCATGCATGCCTAGTGCTCATGGTAGCTAGAATAGGACCCTTGATCCCTGGAACTGGAGTTAAAGATGAACCAGTCAGTGCTCATTTTGTTTTGTTGTTGTTGTTTTGGTCTTTTTGAGACCAGGTCTCCCTGTAGCTCCAGCTGCCTCTGCCTCTACGTCTGCTTCCCAAGTGCTGGAACTAAAGGCATGTGCCACCGCACCTGGCACAGGCCAGTGCTCTTAAACTTTTTGCATTTATTTTGTGTGCAGGGGCATGCACCCCACAGAATGTGGAGGTCAGAACAGCATTCTGGGTTCACTTCTTCCATGTGGGTTCCAGGGAAGCTGAGCTTAATGGCAAGCACCTTTGCCTGCTGGGCCCTCTCACCAGCCCTTGGTAGGGGTGGGCTGGGGTAGCAGTAGTCTAGGGGAATGTGGATTCAGGTACAGGGCATGTCCCTCCAGTTGCTCCTTGTGACAATGCCATGGGATACAGGGCTAGAGACACCAAAGGCAGAATCACAGGATCAGGCCTGGGTTTGAGGCCGGGCCTGGCTGGATGTGTTCATGCAGCACCTGGTTAGCCCAGAGTCTTCATTAGTGTGAGAGTCTAGCACCTAGGCTTTCTGGAATTTTCTTACCTTTCTCTCATGATCCTCCTGTCTACCCCCAAGTTGTGTAGTGTCTCGTAGCCAGGGGGTAAACAGTTTGTCAGAGAGGGCTACAGACTGTCCTGGAAGCTTCCTGTTCCCACAGCAGCCCTTGGACTAGCCTGAGCCTCCCTTCTTTCTGCAGATAGTGGCGGCCTTCCTGAGCGCAGCGTGTCCCTGACTGGAGCCCCTGAATCTGTCCAGTAAGTGTCTGCCTGTGACTCCTGTGGGAGCTCATGACACCCATTCATGTGCCCCTGCCCACCCTGCCCCTAGAGCTTTGTGTGGCTGCCTGTCCTGCAGCCCCAGGTCTCAACCTATCAGACAGCCCTCGGGCTGGGTTCGCACCTTGTCATTGTTCCCCTTCTCCCCACAGGAAGGCAAAGATGATGCTAGATGACATTGTGTCTCGGGGCCGAGGGGGCCCCCCAGGACAGTTCCACGACAACGCCAACGGGGGCCAGAATGGCACCGTGCAAGAGATCATGATCCCTGCAGGCAAAGCTGGCCTGGTCATCGGCAAGGGTGGGGAGACCATCAAACAGCTGCAGGTGTGTATGTGAGCATGTGCGTGGTCCCCAGCCACCATCAGGACCCTCACTGACACTTAATGTTGCTTGGCAGGAGCGTGCTGGGGTCAAGATGATTTTAATTCAGGATGGCTCCCAGAACACAAATGTGGACAAGCCGCTGCGGATCATCGGGGACCCCTACAAAGTGCAGGTGAGCACCCGAGGCTACCGGTGTCACCAGCAACAGCTCCGCCTCGGCCCTAATGTGCCTCACCTGAGTGAAGGGCTACACAGGCTCACAGTGCCAAGACTGTGGGATCTGGAGCTGCAGTCTTGCCCAAACCCATGTTTCATGTATCCACAGCAAGCCTGCGAGATGGTAATGGACATCTTGCGAGAGCGTGACCAGGGCGGCTTTGGGGACCGCAGCGAGTATGGCTCTAGGGTCGGCGGGGGCATCGATGTGAGTGCAGGCACTCTGGGGAGGTGGGGAGGTGGGTGGCCATGGGCTCCAGGGGTGCATGAGTGACCACACTGCGCCTCCTGGTTTCCAGGTGCCTGTGCCTAGGCACTCTGTCGGTGTGGTCATTGGGCGGAGCGGAGAGATGATCAAGAAGATCCAGAATGATGCAGGCGTGCGCATACAGTTCAAGCAAGGTCAGAGGCGGGGCGGGGTGGGGTGGGGTGGGTACCTGAGCCTTGCTGCGTGTGGTGTTATGAAGTACACAGGGAGTGTCTTCCTATTCCCCATGCTGCATATACCTACTCTGCATAGCAGCCCTGGCCCTGGCTGCTCAGTGAGACTTCTGGGCAGCATGTGGGACAGCAAAGGGTGGCCCCTAGCTCCCAACAGTTGCTTCTCTGAGATCTGTTGATCCTGTAAGGTTGCCCAGAGACACGACTCCAGGGATTGGGTGGCCGTGTCCTCCCCAGAAGCTGGGCTGCCCACCGAAGCAGCAGGTCTGGGCAGCTGGCCTTGAACTGAGGTGCCATCAACAGGTTGCAGCTTGGTTTTGCTTCTGAGTGAGCATGCACCCTCCCCACTTCTCTAAGCAGATGATGGAACAGGCCCTGAGAAGATTGCTCACATCATGGGGCCCCCAGAACGTTGTGAGCACGCAGCCCGGATCATCAATGACCTTCTGCAGAGCCTACGGAGTGGACCCCCAGGTCCTCCAGGGGGCCCTGGCATGCCACCTGGGGGCCGGGGCCGAGGCCGAGGCCAAGGCAGCTGGGGTCCCCCTGGCGGGGAGATGACCTTCTCTATACCCACGCACAAGTGTGGGCTGGTCATCGGTCGAGGTGAGTGCTGCGCCCCATCCCCTCAGCCCCTTCTTGCCCCACATGCCCTGCTGTTCCTCACCAGCTGTGGCTTCACAGGTGGGGAGAACGTGAAGGCCATCAACCAGCAGACGGGTGCCTTTGTAGAGATCTCTCGGCAGCTGCCACCAAATGGGGACCCCAACTTCAAGCTGTTCATCATCCGAGGCTCGCCCCAGCAGATAGACCACGCCAAGCAGCTCATTGAGGAGAAGATAGAGGTGGGCTTCTGTTGGGGATGCTGTGAGGGTGCCTGCCATCCTCAGTCCGCTCACCACAGCTGCTTGTCCTTTCCACAGGGTCCCCTCTGCCCAGTCGGACCAGGTCCCGGGGGACCAGGGCCTGCCGGTCCCATGGGGCCCTTCAACCCTGGGCCCTTCAACCAGGGGCCTCCAGGGGCACCCCCACAGTGAGTGTCCTTCCTCTTTGGGTTGGTCATGAGGCCATGCTGGCCACCAGAGAGCCAGGTGGCCTCTCCAGAGGAGACAAGGGAGGGACCACGCAGTCTTGTCTGAGGGGTACCATGCTGACACCTGCCTTGACCTGGCTCTGTCCCACATGTGAGCCACCATTCTTGGGTAGTCATGGCAGGTCATGCCCTTAGCGCTCCTCTGTCCTTTCATGGCCACCTCACCTCACCTCTCTCCTTTCCAGTGCTGGCGGGCCCCCACCTCACCAGTACCCACCCCAGGGCTGGGGCAGCACCTATCCCCAGTGGCAGCCACCAGCTCCTCATGACCCAAGTAAGTATCAACAGCCTGGGGGCTGGGAGGAGGCCACTGTGCCCCCTTAGTACACTGTCCAGGCTGCGTCATTCCCTCAGCTGATCTTCTACCCCTTCTGCAGACAAAGCTGCTGCTGCTGCAGACCCCAGTGCAGCCTGGGCAGCCTACTACTCGCACTACTACCCACAGCCCCCAGGCCCTGCTCCAGGCCCTGCCCCGGCCCCTGCGGCCCCGCCTGCACAGGGGGAGCCCCCCCAGCCCCCACCTGCTGGCCAGTCAGACTATACCAAGGCCTGGGAGGAGTATTACAAGAAAATAGGTAAGTTCAGCACTGGGGAGTAGCTGGGTCCGCACAGAGGCCGGCCCTGACTCCCCTGTCCCTCAGGCCAGCAGCCCCAACAGCCAGGAGCACCCCCGCAGCAGGACTACACAAAGGCTTGGGAGGAGTACTACAAGAAGCAAGGTGAGCTGGGGTTCGTGGCTGGGATCCAGGGACCCAGCCCTCCTGCAGCCACTCACCCTCTGCCCCACACCCACAGCGCAAGTGGCCACTGGTGGGGGCCCAGGAGCACCCCCTGGCTCCCAGCCCGACTACAGCGCAGCCTGGGCTGAGTACTACAGACAGCAGGCCGCCTACTACGGACAGACCCCAGGCCCCGGGGGCCCCCAGCCACCCCCTACCCAGCAGGGACAGCAGCAGGCAAGTGGGAACTGCCACCCCCCTCCTCCTCCTTTCTCCTTCCAACCCCCGGCCACCGTCCATCCTGCCTTAGTGGGTAGCGCCGGGAACCCCTTCCCTTGCGGGGTGTGCCCTTGATGCCTGCCTGGGCGCCTGGCCAGTCTCCGGGAGCCCCGCAGCCCCGCCAACGCCGGGAAGTGCCCGTCGGGTCCAGAGGCTCACGGAAGAAGCTCCACAGCCGCTGTCGGGGTGCGATGCTGTCGGGGTGCTGGGGAGTGCCAGCCGCAAGGTGGAACTTTGAACTGGTGGGTAGTCTTGGGGTGGGACAGGAAGCAGGCCCCTGCACTGGGCGCCAAACTGGCTGCTGAACCCACTTACTCAAATCTGGCCATTTGGGAAGAAAACGTCTATTTTTTTCCCCTTCTCTGTATCACTGTTTTGGGTTTCGTTCTTTTTTATTTTTTTATTTTTATTTTTTTTTAAGCCACAGCCTTTATCCCCCATGTCCAAGTGACTGTGTGTTGTGGGTGGCTCTGCCCTGTGGGAATTGAGGGGAGCCTGGAGCTGCCAAGGGGACTGAGGGGCTCAGCTGCCTCTCCCATGCTCGCCTCTGTTGTGGTCTTGTCTGTGAAGTGGGCGTGACCATCGTTGCCACCTTCCAACCTACCTCACAGGGGTGTTGTGGGGACAAGTGATCTGTGCTGATGTTGTGACATGCTGAGCCTCCACCTCCTCCCTCCCTCCCTGCCACCCTCAGTGGGTGCCCCTTCCTCCTGCTCCTCTTCCTCCTCCTGCTCCTCCTCCTCCTCCTTCTTGCTTCTCCACCAAGGAGCAGTGACTTCAGCCGAGTCCCCCAGATAGACAGACAGGCAGTCCCGGGGCCTGCTGGCCTACGGGTGTGGGGCGCCCCTGTGCCCTGCCCTCCCCACCATGACGCCTCCTATCTCTTCCCTCTCCGCAGGCGCAATGAATCGAATGAATGTGAACTTCATCTGTGAAAATCTTTATTTTTCTCCATTTTTGTTCCATTGGGGGCTTGTTTTGTTGGTTTTCTATATTTGGTTGGTTTTATGAGAGTAATGACCGCCTGGGGTGCCAGGGGGGTCCCTGGCCAAGGCTCTTGCTCATTCTGTATCTTACCCCCATTTTCCTTCCTAAATTGGGGTCGTTCATGTCGAGCCAGCCTTAGAAAATAGCGAAAATTTAACCTCTGCCAAAAAAAAAAGTTTAAAAATTAAACAGACAAAGCAGAAAAGCTATAAAGTGATATATAGAGAATATATAGACATATCCCAGCCTCCGTGAGCCCACCTCCCTGGGGACAGCGATTCATTCCCCCCACCCCGGGGCCCTCTTCTTGTTTTTAAAATAAACTTTTTAAAAGGAAAAAAAAAAAACACTCTTGCTATTTCTTTTTTGTTTTTAGTTAGAG